AAAAAGCATTCCTAGCCAGGCATGGTGGTGCACGCCTGTAATCCCAGCACTCAGGAGGCTGAGGCAGGAGGATCATTGTGAGTTCGAGATCAGCATGGGCTACAAAGCGAGCTCAAGGCCAGCCTGAACTGCATAGAGAGATCCTATCTCAAAAAAGACAAAAAAAACAAACAAACAATAACAACAAAAAAAAAACTAGTGGGTTATTTACAATATTCCCAACTTCACTATTTATGCAAGTTACAACATTAAAATACAAGAAAATAAAGAATATATATTTAGCATTATTATACAGTTTTATCCAGTTGTAAAAGTACTAATTACCCAGAACCCACTCCCTTTATCATGACTTTCTCTAGTGCTGCTAACTATATTCTTCAAACTTAGATTAAACAAAACAAAGACCAGCTCATGCCCTTCTCCACCAACTCTATTTTACTTCCTCTTTTCCCATGTTTCTTGATCTTCTGAGTAATGCCTCTTGGATTGCTTTAACTAGATCAAAGATTTTCATAAAGTAGAAACAGGGATTTAAGGATGGTTCCTGGATTATAAAAATTTAACTACAGAACTTACTGTTCTGCTTCCCCCGCTCTGCAGAAGCACCATTCATCTCACCCAGCAAGCCCTGCTCTGCACCGTAGCTGGCTCGGTACCCACCACTTCCTTCTCTTATGCTGATATGAAGGGGAACTACAATCCAATGCTGGTTCCTTTTCCCTTCTTTCCCCAGAATACTAACTCACATTAGCACCATGAATAGTATCATCTCAACCCATTCTGTTGGAGAACACAAGTTAACATGTCAGCACGCAGTGTGATCCATTTGATGCCAGGAAGATAATGCAGTTTCACCGTACGATTCTAGAAACTGGCAGTCATAAGTAGAAAACTCGTCTCTACTAAATTTTACAAAGCCTAATCACTAACATTCCAAAATAGTTAGTATGTGTGTGATAATACCATAGACAAGGTAAACAAGAGTGCTGGGGAAAAAATGAGGTATAAAATACATTTTCATTTCTCAAATGTTAATGTAACATTCTAAGAAGTTTTGAGAGCTTATAAATCCTCAAGAAGGATGATTAACAAAATAAAGTCTTTAAATATAGAGGAATAAATCTAACGAAACATGTGCAAGGCCTCTAGGCTTAAAACCATAAAATATTATTGCTAGAAAATAAACAGACAAGTGAAGGCAAATACTACAACTACAGCTACAAGATTCAAAACGATAAAGACATCAATACTACCAAAACTTATCTACAGATTCAGTGCAATACCAATCAGTATCAAAGGAGATTTTTTTCTGTGGAGTTTGAAAAGCTGATTCTCAATTACAGAAATGTAAACAGCTGAGAAAATCTTGAAGAACAAAAAAACAAACTTATTCAGATACCAAGATTTATTATAAAGCTATAGCAAATTAAGATAAAGAGAGCAATGGAATCACAAAACCTAGAGACAGATCCATACGTATATGATCAACTGATTCTAATTAAGGTGAAAATGCAATGAAATGGGCAATGGGTGGATGTTTCCATAAACGTTTCCAGGTCCTCTTGATGCTCAATATATTTTAAAAAACATGAGTGGCACACACCTGTAATCCCAGCACTCAAGAGGCTGAAGCAGGAGGATCACTGCAAGTTTGAGACCAGCCTGCACTACAAAGTGAGCTCAAGGCCAGCTTGAACTGTTAGTGAGACCCTATCCCAAAAAGACCAAAAAAAAAAAAAAAAAAAAAAAAAACCATGAACCTTGATCTTTACCTCATACTATACACAGAAATCAATTCTAGATAAACTATAGATTTAAATATGAAGAAGTTTCTAGAAAATAAACTTTAAAGAGTATATCAATGATTGGGGGTAGACCAGGATTTCCAAAACAGAGCACAAAATATATTTTTTAAATGAGAAAAAAATGATAAATGAGATTAAGTAGAAATGTAATCTATTATCAAAAGCCATGATTAAGAGTAACAAGGCAAGAGATCCAGTCAGAGAATGTATCTGTAACACATTTACCTGACAAAAGGTATTTGGAACACATAAAGAGGCTATCACTTAGCACACACAAAACAGGCTACTTTCAAAAACAGGCAGAAGAGCAGGGCAGGTGATCTACAAAAGAGGGTATTCAAATGGACAGAAACCACAGGCGAAGGTGCTTCACACCCTGAGTCATCCGAGGGAAATTTAACAACGAGGAGGCATGTCCACACAGTCACTGGCACAGCTACACTGGCAGAGATAAACACTACTAAGTGTGGCCAAAGACACGGTGCAGCGCTGCTGGGAATGTAAGCTGGCATAACAGCGTGGGAAAAGCGGCAGTCATCTATCAAAGCTGAACATCTGCATACCTTTCCATCTTTAGCGTAGGTACATACTTAACAGAAAAACACATACACACCGAAACACACGTACAAAATTATTCAGAGCACGCACGCCTGTTTTAGCAGCTCCAGAGGGGAGAAAAAACTTATACGTCCTTTTATAGTAAGCAAGGTAATTAAATTGTGGAATATTCACATAATGGATTACTAGTATAGAGTAGTAAGAAAATGAACACTTCTCCCTAGAAGACGGATGAGTCTTACAAACAATTCTAAGGGAAAGACACTAGACATAACAAGTTCATTACTTATTTGATTCCATTAAACAACAGTTTACCAGCCAAATTTCATCAGTGGTGTTCAGAGTCAGTAGAGGAGCTACCTGGGTGTGCCTGTGCTGAAGCTGACGCGGTGGGCAGAGTGGTGCTGAAACTGGTTAGGGAGGGGCTTCCGTCTGCTAGCAACGTCCAGCGTTTCAGGATGGTGGGTGTATTCACCTTATGAAGGGCCGCTAAGCTATATATCTGTAACATGTACACTTCTGTGTGTCCATTAATACTTCAATAAAAGACGTAGTAAATAAAAATCAATTCTCAGAGGGACCCACAAAGTAGGTTAAGAGAGACAGCATTTACTGGGAAGACTTAAGGGCCAGAGACAGAAAGAAGCTGCGTAAGTATGCTCATTTTTCTTCTGCAACCACCTTCTGGGTCCTGTTCACTCCAGTGCGCGAGGACAAGCCAAGCCCACTCCCAGGCCGAAAGAACTACCTCAGTCTTCTGAGCTCTTAGAAAAAGAGAGGAAAGAATCAAGTAAAGGAAGGGTCCACTGTGGGGAAAACACTAAATATCACATGAGCGGTTCACTAGATATTCTTCCTCACACCAGAAGATCAAGCTCTAAAAGGCCTTACAGGACAGGAAGACCGACTTGAACGTGGAGGTTCCTGCCTTCACGTGTGTAACTGAAGAAGCAAAAGTAACTGACAGCTGACATGCTCAGCTCACCAGGGCAGCAGGTCCCACAGACAGGGGCCAGAGCCATGGCGGCTGGCACACAGAATGCATTTGCTTTATCTGTTTTTATTTTTATATTTTTGTTGTTGTTTTGGGTTTTTTTCCAGTACCGGGAATCGAACTCACGACCTTGCACTTGCCAGGCAGGCGCTGTGCCACTGAGCTAAATCCCCAGCCCCTGCATTTGCTTTAGAGCTTCCTCTGTAAGGTAGACAGTGGAGCGGGAGCAGGCAGGGAGACCTTTACCCACAAAGCCTGTGACACTGAGGAAACCACTGGGATTGAGAGACCCAGCCCCAGCATCAAACACAGCATGGCAGATACACAATAAATGACAAATGATGTCGAGGGATTTGAGCAAGTTGCTTCTTTTCTCACTTTGCCGGAGCTTCTTTTCTCACAGAACAAACAACTCAGAGTCCCTAGGCATCAGAAAACTCATTCGTCACATATTGCACCTGCTTCTTTATTGCTAAAATTCGACCGTAACAAAGATGAAACGAGCCATGATATATAAAATGCGTAGCACAGCAGCACTCCACTGCAGACACTGACAAGACATCAGTGCCCGCTCTGCCCTAAACTCAGCTACTCCTCCGAGCAGCTACTGACCTTCCTAGAGCTGACTGCGCTGGGAACGGACGCGCTCTGCTCCCTTTGCACTCTGAAGAAATATTTAACTTCCAGTTCTCCAGTGGGTCCCACGGAGGAGGGACCTCACACACTAAAACTATAAATACTGCATCTTTCCCAGGCTCCACTCCAGCATGAGGGGCTTGGTCCGTGGGGTTCAGGTGGAGACTGTCTGGAATGCTTCTCAGCCCAAGGAGCAGAATGTGACCAAGTACTACCGCTCCCAGGAAGCCAAAATCTGCAGCACCGAAAAGGGTAAGAACTGGCCAGCCTCCTAGCCTCACAGCCCAAACCTCAGGGTGGGAGGCCCAGCACGGCTTTGCAGAGAGGCCCGCGCTCACTTGTGAGAACCAGTGAGCTCAGCTCTGCTCTGCGTCCTGGGTAACGCACGCTCTACACTGTACGAAAGGCTAGGAAATAGAGAAGTAGCCCTGATTATGTGTGCTGATTGTCTCAGACAATTACACAGTAAGTGATTTCTCTGCACACATTCAACAGCCAATACTGACTCAGTAGACTCTGTGACAGGCCCAGTGCCAACCACTTCAAAGCCACTACAAAAAAGAGAATTTTAGTAAGGAAACGACTATAAGAATTGAAGCTGGGTGTGGTGGTGCACACCTGTAGTCCCAGCACTCAGCAGGCTGAGGCAGGAAGATCATTGTGAGTTCAAGGCCAGCCTGGGCTCCATAGCAAGACCCTGTCTCAAAAAACCAAAAAAAAAAAAAAAAAAAGAACTGAAAAATACATGCTTAAATCTTAAATTCATTTCATTAGGCCCAAGTTTACTCCTTACCAAAAAAACACAACAGAATCTATTTCAGTAATTATCTTCAGAAGAAAAAGCTAAGCAGAGTGAAATTTCAACTCCGATATTCACATCAAAAAAGAACTCATGAGACTCTCAAATGATTTCATTCTGTTCTTACCTTTTATTTCAAGCCCAGAGCCACACTAAGAACTAACCTGTCTGAAACATACAATCAAAAATAAAACTGAAATCCTCTTACCTGAGCATGGAAGTTGGACATAGTCGTTGTCTCTATGTCCTTCTTCCCCAGTATCTCCATCTTCACGGGGGAGTTGGGAAAGTTAAACGAAAAGTAGTCTAAAAAGTCAGGCAGGTAGGCAGCTGCGCCGTGAACGATGCCCATCACGTAGAAGGCCGCCGCGTTCTCGTTCTCGCTGAACACCAGGCCCACGAACTCCTCTGCGAACCGCTCCATCTCCACGGGAGACAGGCGGGAGAGCTCGCTGCTGTAGGCGTGCAGCACCGCCGCGCCCCCGTTGGGCTGGTGCTCGATGTGAATGAGCTGCTTGAACTCCAGCGTGTCCAACCTCCGCAGCGTCTTCTGAACTCGGGGCTCCTTTAACGCGACGAACGGAAACTCGCTGTTCTCAGAAACTTTGGAACTGTAGCTCTTGGGATCTAAGCTCTTCCCAGTGTAATCCTTTATGTTATCACTTAGGACGCCTTTGGCTGTCTCATCCTCAACATCAGACAGCAGTCCTGAGCAGATGGTCTGAATAGATTTGCTGTACATTTTCGGACGCTTCCGTTTCTCATTCTCTTTGTGTTTCTTTTTCTTTTTCTTCTTTACCTTTTTAATTTGTAAGTCTTCTGCATTTGTTTTTGGTTTCTCCTTCCCACCTGTTGGGAAAAATTTTTTTGAAATGCTGTATTTTTCCAATAGTTTAAAAAAATATGCTTTTGTAATATGTTTACTTCTGATACTTCTAAAATTTATTCAAAATTAGTTTTGTATTTGAGCTTTATTTTAAATAGTATTAATAACTAAACTACATCCAGTCAATTTCTCTCATTCTCTCTCTCTACACACACACACAGAAGGAGGTCCAGGACCCAGTCACACCTAAGGGCGCCAACTACCATTCTAACACATAGCAGTGCTCTCTGAACCACTCCACGCACACTTGGCCACCGGGCCTCCCGGAGCTGCCACGCTGCCCTGCTGGGCAGGCGGGGTCCAGAGGAAAACCCTGGACGCCAGGCCTCGGGTGGGCAGCCCAGGGGAAGAGCACTGCTTCAGCTCACCCTCAGGGAAGGGTGGGCATCCGGGTTACTCCACCGGGAGGGGGCGGGGACATGTGGGCCAGGTCTCCGCGGACACTGCCCGTGCACTCCTGCTCTGCTTTTACTTTGTACCCTTTCACGACAGCGAGTCACAGCCCTGAGTACAACCACCTACCGGGTACCACTCGTCCTCCCGCAATCACAGAGCTTGAGAGCAGCCCCAGGCTCTGGAGACGAGACCGAGGCACTAAGGACTCACCAGACAGATGGCAGTGTTCCAGGAGCTCGCACTCAGCTCCTGTCCACACGTGAAATACACGGGATGGTTACGTAAAAAGCGGCAAACACTTCCACAGGACCATTTGAATATTAACGCTCTTCTCTTATACTAAAAAGTGTGTGAAGTACAAATTCCTCAAAATCTGTCATTCTTTGAATAGAGCCTAATAAACCAGATACATTGAAAGCCTGTTCAATATTTATAACAGAATGAAGTTGCTAAGTGATCTGCCTAAAAGTGTAAGATCTGACGTGTGTACACACACACACACACACACACACACACGTAGAGCCTCCCAGAAACACAGTCGGAGGGATGGAACGGCCAGCACACGATGCTCCCAGCGACAGGAGCTATGGACAGGAACAGCATAGACACAGCTGGTATTTTTAATGGCCAACTACGAAAAACTCACCTTAAAAATAAGCCCACTGATACTAATTTCTACCACTACCATTAGGATACTTTTTCGTGTTAATAAAGTGAAAACAAAAGTTACCTAGAAAAACTAGACCTTCGCATCTGACATAAAAAATAATATACATTATCATATTCCATTATCATATTCGAAAACAAAGCAGTAATCAATCTCTGGTCTCCAAGGAACTCTGGTGTCCACAGCGCAGGGCTGCGATGTACCCACCTGTGATGTAGTGACCTGTGCTGACTCATGTTACCCCCCTTCCGCCCGCGCAGGTGCAAGCTTCCCCGGGGGGCTAAAACGGTAAGACCACTCCCAACAACGCAAAACGGCTGCAGCACAGGGATGTGCTCAGAAAAAGTAGTGGATGGACCTTAGATGGAAAGGATGGAAACCACTAAATAACCTTAAGTCTCAAATGCATTTGATCCTTTGAACTATTTCTAAAAGCAAATAATCACCTTTTCCAAGGTTAACATTTAAAAGATTTAAAAGACTTTTTGCGTGAAAAAAGCGTTTTAGCACGCAGAGAATTGTGTGTATATCTCTGGTCATCTAAAAGGTGACTCAGCGTTTAACAAAAACATGCAGGAAATGAAATCAGCGAGGAGCACCTCAGCCTCTGTTTTTCAAGCGCTATCGCCAAGCAGGCCTGCGCGCCTTAGAGCTCGCAGCATCGGCACCCTGCGAGGGAAGGAGAGAAGGCGGGACCCGCCACGGCCACACGGGGGCGCAGCACAGGGTGCAGGGCGCGGCCACCGCCGCGAGCCACGCGTTTCCGGACCACCGGCGCCTGCCCGCCTGAGCTTACAAGGGCACGGTCCGGGTTTTCTAGAGGAATCGGGGGCGGGGGGTTAGGGTTGAATTATCGCTGAGGAGTGGAGGTAGTTTTGGTTCTGTTGCTTCTGCATCACAGAAGTTAACCTTTCGAACATGTTTCCAAGATGCGTATCCACTTCCGTTGGGCTTCACAGCGCCGCCGGGCAGGAACCACACTGCTGCTCTCTCCACTGTGCGGTACGCAGGCCTCCCCCTAAATCCCACCTCATCCCAGAAGTCACAAATCAGCCTCCAACGCTAGCTCAGCTCTCCTCTACCATCACTACTTTCACTTCAGCTCAGTTAAAACACCTGCTAAGTATTACTTTAGAGTCAGGGTTAAAACTGTGTATTTAAGGAAAATCTCCATGTTTAGGTTATTTTCACTTTGCTTGCATCTACACAGTAATCTACATTCATATAACTCTCCACTATTAGGAATCTCCTGTTCAAGCTTTTATAAAGTGTTTCTAGGACATAAGATTCCTTCTCAAGCCGAAATTTGTATCACTGTACACTCAAATGGCTAAGAAAACAGCTGCAGACTGAACCAGTTTTAAAAAGACACTGTTTGACTCAAGCCACAGGGTAAAGTTGTGTAAACACTTCGTGCAGTTCTGGTTTACTCACGGGACTTACATTTCATTTATTACCCAACGACCCACTCCCCAAACATCAACCCTTAGCTGCCTGTGGAGTCTGTCCCTGCCACAAGGCTTACAATCCATCAGACAACACAGGTAAAACACACTGGCGAAAGAAACAGAAGGGTCAGGAGCATTAATTACAGAGCCACCAACTGGAGCTCCAACACATCCTCAAAGTGAAAGAACATTATAGAAAATAAAAGTTTTCCAGCACTGGGTATTGAATCGAGGGCCTGGTACACACTTGGCAAGCACTCTACCACTGAGCTGCATGCCCGGCCCACAGAAAATGAAACTAACACCCAGAGCACAGAGCCTGCATAAAGCGCCTCCAGAGAACATCTGCGAGTATGACAAAGAACGGGATGAAAACGGAGAGTCTAAGGCCCTGCTTAAATAATGGAAGCTACCCACAGGCAGTGCGACCGGCCGCGCCCGCAGACAGAGTGAAAGGCCCCGCAACACACAAAGGAGACGTGAAATTCATCAAGGCCAATGCGCCTGGACTGGCACCCGCCACCCAGACAGACAGCCTTCTTGTTACCTGACTGAACTTAAGAATATCCTTTCTACTCTCACATAAATTCCAAAAATGTTCGGGTTTATTCACAGGACTTATACTTCATTTATTACCCAACTACCCATTCCCCAAATTCTTCTCTCCGTCCCACCCCATGTAAAAAGAGTAACTGAGTACAACTGTAACAAAGAAAAACAGGACACAAAAAGATGGTATTCTTGATCATGCAAAACACATATGGGGGAAAAGGTACCACTCTGAATTAACCTCAGAATAAAATGTTCCCTCTTAATCCTAGGCTATGACGTGGTGCTTAAAGTCAAATATTTGTAAGAAGAGCCCCTCCCCCGCCTTTTTGAGACAGGGTCTCAATGTGTAGTTCAGGCCAGCCTCAAAACTCTCGGTGATCCTCCTGCCTCAGCCTCCAGAGACACCTGGCAGAAGGCCACTTCTTTCCCCATCCCTATTATGCTGAACATTGCATTGGTCTTTTGCACTATCTAAATATAAATAAGCATTAATAATGCAAATAGAATTATTTACTAAGATAACTCATTTTAAAATAATTTAAGGAATCTAACACTTTAATGAAGTTTAACCTTTAAACTTTGTAATGATTCACTGTTACAAGTAAACATGCAGTAGTAAAGATACGTCACCAGGCAGACTAGGAGACCCCAGTACTGCATTTGCTTTTCACTGCTTATCTCAGCAAAAGCCAGCACCAAATAGAGTTGTTCATTTTAACCACTTACTAATACGCATACTGAACAGCAGAGTACAGAGCAAAGTCACTGAATATGAACTTACTCTTCAGCAAAATCTTTACTTCTCCATTCTCTTTCTTGATCTCACTCATTACTTTATGCTTCTTTTTTTCTCTCTCTTTGTCTCTGTCTTTAATTTTGTCTTTGATTTTATCTGAAAGACGACATAAAGAAAATATTTAAAGCTACTGAGATCTTAATTTTTCCCATGAACTATAGTTCTATTTCTGAAACTGCAATGCACAAAACAATCAAAATGAGAAAAGAAATATGCCTTTTCTTCTTCCTCTTAGGTTTGAGGACTATTTCTAAATTCCCAGTTATGATTATGGAAGAAATAATGTCAAAATTCACCACTACAGTTCATGTTAATGACTACTTTCATATACTTCATGTCAACTAAAACATCAGACTAAGTTCCAATCACGTAAAATAATTTGCTACCTCCAGCTGAACCAAAAGCAACAGTGAGGAAGTACTGGCTCTGAAATGGAGCGCTACCGGCATCAGTGACAAGCACTGGAACATACTCAATACCACTTGCTTGATTTTGTAAAGTGATAGCTGATAGCCTTCCTCCTAGAATGGCTACAAGGAACAGGTGACAAAGGGCAAACAAGGACCGTGTAGAGACGGGCATACCGGAGTAAGTGTGAGTTTGCTCTCCCTTGTGCTTTGTGAGAAGAATGTGGCTGATAAGACCAGCGGCGCAACAGTGATATTAAAGTACAAGGACTAAGAGCTCCGGGAGTCATGGATCCACATTATAAAACTTCATACCTGAGCTGTATATATCTATATATCTATACAGATGATATGTTATTCTATTACTGCTTGTTTGTTCAATCAACTTCCTACAAATCCAGCAAAGGAGAAGATACAAAGAAGAAATAAGTAAAATTAGTGACAGAGTCCTTGCCTTCAGGCAGAATGGAAGCATACAAAAACTGTAGAATATCCTGTAATACAACAGAGACTGTGCAGTGTGTATGCATAATCTCTTAAGCACCACTCTTTACTCTCCTTTCCATATATATTACCTTAATCCAGGTCCTAATCGCCTACCAACGAGACTACTCTATTTTTTTTTTTTTTTTTGGATTTTTCTCCGGTACCAGGAACCGAACTCACGACCTTGCGCTTGCCAAGCAGGCGCTTTTGCCGCTGAGCTAAATCCCCAGCCCCCCAACGAGACTACTCTAGATCAGCACTGTCCAACAGAAATAAAATGCCAGATGTAAATTTACATTTTCTAGTAACCACACTAAAGATGTAAAATGAAACAGGTTAAGTTAATTTTAACAATATATTAACCCAGCATACCCAAAATAGCATCATTTTAACATGCAACTGCTATTTAACAATTACTGAAATAGTAAACATTCATATGAGTTCTAAGTCCAGTCTACAAAGTCAGTAATTTTATCTCACAGAAAACTATTGGACTTTTGCGCTGGACACATATTAGTTTCAAGCCCAGGGAGAAGAGTCTTGGGATACGCATTCTAGTACAACATTACGTAGTTCAGGAGAGACAAACTGAAGATGCAACATGTCATTATACGAAAAGCATCTACTGAAACAAGAGCAATGGCATAGCCAAGCCAGGAGAGCTCCTGACAATACAAGTGCAGTCCCCCCGACACACTACAACCAAGTCTCTCAGCAGCACAACCCGCCCGTGTGTACACAGCACACATGCACTCTCTGCTGTCCAACCCACACAACCTGGCTTGTTCCCACCTCAGGGCTCGCCTGCCTTCACCATTCCCAGAAGTCTGCTTCTTGTCAGAGCAAATCCTTTCTGAAAACCCAACCTTAAATGCCTCCATAAAAGTTCCTGTAATTATGGACATGCCATGGCTACAATAAAGTGAGAGGCCGCCGTGCTCGAAAGACAGGCTCGAGTTTAAGCTCGGCCCCTGTGAAAACTGGCCAGCTGTCCCATCTCCGGCGTCAGTGTGAGACAGTATTCATGTAGAGATCAAACGGAAAGTCAGGTCATTACCTCACTGTAGCACAGCACGCGGACGAAAGCCACGTCTAGATAGCTTCGCAGGAAGGAGCTGTGGTGGAAAACAGCACTCTGACTTCACTCTGTTTCACACCGTTCCTAAAACACTGGGATTCCCCGTCGGTGTTTGTTTCTTTTCATGACCAATCATTTAAATACTCTTACCCTTCATGGCTTAACCTAAGGCATAGGAAAAAATTTCTAACTCACCTCATCATAATTCTCAGAATGAAAGGAAGAATTATTCCACCCAAAGAACAAGACACTGTGTGAAAAGTTAAGCTTGATTAATGTAAGGACTGTAAGTTTTATTTAGAAATATAAAGGAAATCCTGACAGTATGTGCAAGAAAGACTAGATGGGCAGACCAACAGAAGAAGGATTTTGGAAAGAGACCCATCTGCCAGGTACAGTGGCTCTCGCCCATGATCCCAGCACTCAGAGCACTGCTGCGCGTTGGAGGTCGGCCTGGGCCACAAAACAAACAAACAAAACACAGAAAAGTAGTAAACCTATCCTTGACTGCATGTAAAAACCTTAAATTGGATAAAACAGTATTTTCAACTAACAGCACTGGAAGAACTTAGGGGATGGAGATTTAGCTCAGCGACACAGCACCTGCCTGGCAAGCACAAGGTCGTCAGTTTGATTCCTGGTACCAGAAAAAAGCCAAAAAAAAAAAAAAAAAAAAAAAGAAAGAAAAGGAACAACTTGACACCCACATGCAAAAGCACAAATCTAAACACAGACCTTACACCCTCTGCAAAAAGTAATTCCAAGTAAGCAACACACCTAGATTAACACGCAGAACTATAAAAACCCCTAAAAGATCACACAAAAGAAAATCTAGATGATGCTGGCATCATAGTTACTTTTCTTGTCGCTGAGACAAAACCCTCAACACCCAAAGTTACAGGAGGAAAGGTTTGTTTGGCTCACAGTATATAGAGGGTTCAGTCCATAATCGCTGGCTCCAGGCAGGGTGGCTGGGCAGACAGACATTGCAGAGGAAAAACAGCCCATGGTGAGCAGAAGGTAGCAAAGCAAGCAAGACCGTAGCAGCTTCTTTCCACCCCTTTTATAATCTAGGCTACCAGGGTTAGGGCCGAACTAATCAGTGGACTTTTGTGGTACTCACACACCAGCATACACACTCTAGATCCAGCCACTTCTGAAAAAGGCCCACCTACGACTGCCTGAGGCTGTGGGGGACATCCAGACCCAAAATGTAACAGTTAGATTTGGTGATGGGTGATGTTTCTACATCTAGAGACTCTAGATCCAGCACCAAAGGCATAAGCCATGAAAGAAATAAACAGTAAGTTGGATTTCATTAACATCTGAAAAAAACACTGTCAAGAGAATAAAAAGACAAGCCACGGAAAGGAGAAAATATCTGCAAAAGATACTATCAGAAAGGTGTATCTGATGAAGGATATTATACAAAATAGTCCCTAAAACTCACAAGAAAACAATCCCAACTTAAGAACGAGGGGGGACAGAAGGGAGGGAAGGGGGAGGGGGAGGGGATATGTGAGCCGCAGACTTCACCACAGAAGAGACGGGCAACCGCACACGCGAGAGACTGCACAGTACCCGCCACCAGGCACGCCACTAAAGCAGGCACACCACACACCTACCGCAGCGCCCAAACCAGCACACTGACAATACCAAAGTTTGCAAGTATGGAGAACAAAGAAATTCTCATTCTTTGCTGGTGAGAAAGCAAAATGCTACTCTGGAGACAGCTGGGTGGTTCCCTGCAAACCTAAATATACCCTGCATGATCCAGTAATCACACTGCTTGGCATTCATCCAAAGGAGCTGAAAACATCCACAAAAACTCATGCACACAGACATTTACAACAGGCTTATTCATAACCACCAAAATATGGAAGCAACCAAGATGTTGTCATAGATAAACAGATACACTGTAGTACAGCCAGACCATGGAATACTCTGCAGGACTGAAAAGAAATGAGCTGGGCATGGTGGCACATTCCCTGTAATCTCAGCATTCAGGAGGCTGAGGCAGGAGGATCACTGCAAGTTTGAGGTCAGCTTGGGCCATTTAGCAACTGTTTCTCAAAATAAAAAGGGGCTGGGATGTCCCTCAGTGGTAGAGTGTATGGCTAACACGTGCAGAGCCCTAAAGTCAATCCCTAATAGTGACAAAAAATAAAAAAAAGGATGGACAAAAGGAGAAAGGACAGATGGCTAAGTCATTATCATACATGTGTACGAAGAAAATTACTATAACTTTAAACAAGCTACAAATCAAATTTTCAAATATGTGGTGAATTTCTGAGTGTGGCACATGCCACATAAGTCTCAATGTTGTATTATTACATCCAACAGACATACTTTACTGTGCGCCACATACAAGAGAGGAAGGTGAATAATGCTGCACAAAGGATCTTACAGTCAGATACCAGCTGGTCAACTATCCTTTTGGAAAACCGGCTCTTATAACAGAACATTTATTTCATCTGGTTTTTCTTTTTGTTTTGTTCTCTGTGGGGTTTTTTTGCCTTTTCTGAGACAGCGTTTCACTATGCAATTCAGGCTGGCCTTGAACTCACTTTGTAGCCCAGGCAGGCCTTTGAAGTCACAGCAATCTTCGTGGCTCAGCCTTCCTAGTGCTGGGATTACAGGCATGGGCCACCACACCTGCCTTTTCATCTGATTTTAATCTCGTAATAAAATTCACTAGCCTGGGCTGGGGATTTAGCTCAGTGGCAAAGCGCCTGCCTGGCAAGCGCAAGGTCGTGAGTTCGATTCCTGGTACTGGAAGAAAAACAGGAAAAAAAAAAAAAAAAAAGGAGAAAAAAAATAAAATTCACTGACCTCATGATAAAGTAGGAATGAAAATGTGTGTGTGTCCACATATGTAGGAGGATAAGCTACTCCAGAAAAAAATAAAACTTTAAAGAACACAATGGTGCACATCTGTCATCCCAGCACTTGGGAGGCTGTGGCAGGAGGATCACTACCAGTTGAAGGACAGCCTGGGCTATACAACAAGACCCTGTCTCAAAAAAAAAAAAAAAAAAAAGGAAAACCTTAACACTGATCTACAATGCTGGCTTTTTTTTTTTTTTTTTGAGATAATGTCTCACTAAGTGATTAAGACATTATAA